TCAATGTTTTGTTAAATTCACGCTGCATTTTTAAAATGTGTTTTCCAAAGCATTGTGTCAAAAGATAATGTGAAATACTTAGTTTTTGCATGATTGGTCTTAAGTAGTGACAAGTTTAAATTTTTTGTAAACTATAGGATGTGCTTTACTGGTTTAGATTTACATTTACAACAAGATAAATATGGGAAGTTAAAGGTTTCCTCTATTGAAGGTTTTACACTGGAGCTTTGTAATAATATTGAAAATGATTGGTAAAGAGAATGAAAACATCCCCAAATATGCTTACCACTTAATATCCTTATAACTGAATGTTGTGACTTTGAATTTTCTTTGTTTTTATGTGACCCAAAGCTAAAGCAGTATTATTACTTCAGTAGAAGTAATTTGAATCAATCAGTGAATTTAGAAATTGATTAATTTTGTTTCTCTATTATGTACTAATTATATATCTATAGTAAACAATGAAGCCTTTCCCATTTATGAGCAGCTATATTTTTGTAATTTAATGGTAGTATATATATATATATTTTATATCTTGGAGATTTTCACTACCATTGCTTATAGAGCATTCTAGAATTATGTTTAGGTGTTAATATAATTGTGGTGATGTTTGCACAACTTTGTGAATATGTTAAAAGCCATTTGATTATATACTTTGAGTGAATTGTTAGAATGTGAATTATATCTCAATAAAGCTTTTTAGAAAGGTCAATATGAGGAAATAATTCAAATTAGAGACTCTAGTTTTAGACAGTTCTAGATATGCAGGGCAGTTCTGTCATTTACTTTGGTTAATTACTTTATCTTCCTGAGCTATTTATTTATTTTGAACCCCAGGATCTTTTTTTTTTTTTTTTTTTGAGTTGGAGTCTCACTCTGTCACCCAGACTGGAGTGCAGTGGCCGCTCCCGGCCACTGCAGCCTCGACCTGCTGGGCTCCGGTGATCCTTCCGCCTCAGCCTTCCAAGTAGCCACAATTACAGGCATGCACTACCACGCCCGGCTGATTTTTTGATTTATTGTAGAGATGAGGTCTCGGAACCCCAGGATCTTATCCTGCCGCCCAGGCTAGAGTGCAGTGGCACAGTCATGGCACACGACAGCCTGGACCTCCTGGAAATCCTTCTGCTTCAGCCTCTTGAATAGGTGGGAATATACGTGTATGACAACACGTTTGCCTAATTTTTGTGGAGTCGAAGTCTTGTTATGTTGCCTCGGCTTGTCTCAAATTTTAGGGCTTAACCAGTTCTCCTACTTTGGCCTCCCAAAATGTTGGGAATATAGTTGTGAGTCACCGCGCCCAGCTTAAAATTTCTTAATAGGTACCTAGGATTGTTTTGACAATCAAAAAATAACTCTAGGCACATTGTCAGTACTTAATAAATTGTAGCTGCTATTATAATTTATAATTTTTTTTGAGTCAAGATCTTACTCTGTCACCCAGTCTAGAGTGCGGTGCCGCAATCATAGATCACTGCAACCTTGACTTCTTGGACTCAGATGATCCTCCCGCCTCAGCCTCCTGAGTAGCTGGGTTTACAGGTGTGTGCCACCACACTTGGCTAATTTTTTATATTTTATATTTTTGTAGAGATGGAGTCAGTTACCCAGGCTGATTTTGAACTCCTGGGCTCACGCAGTCCTCCTGCCCTGGCCTCCCAAAGTGCTGGTATTACAGGCATGCACCACTATGCCCGGTCTAGAATTTATAATTTTATTTTACATAACAGGATTTTGTGGGAGCACAAAGAATAGTGAATTATGAACTTTGACTGGGGAAGCTTTGAGAGACTTACATTTGAGCAAGGTTTTGAAAGATGAGAAGGAAGTTTGTGAGCAAGAAGGGTTAAGAGGAAGGCATCTTGACTTGGGAAGAGTCTATATCCAGGGCTGTAGTTGTGGGATGATACAATGTGCTTAGTGTATGAGGGATGCAGGGTTAAATCTGTGTAGGAAGCCGTACTTCAGATGTATCATTCCTGAAAATATGTGAAAGATCTTGTACAAGGAATATTTATTGAATAGAATAAAGAATAGATATTTACGAAAGCATTATTAACAGCAAGAGGCTAGAGGATTAGAAATGAAGTTGACTTGTGTTTAATTAGCCATGTCATGTTGGATAAATAAGGATTGTGCATATATGGAACATCCGTAGCAAAGTTTTTTCTCTTATCCATTTCCCAGTTTTTTATTATGAAAATGTTCACACATATAAAGAAGTTGAAAGAATTGTACAGTGATCACTCAGAGACCCATCTTGAGATTTGACAATTAGCCTTCAGCTCTGTTTGCTTTATCATGTAACTCTCCATATATCTATCAATCAATCTCATTTTTTAAAATGGATTTCAAAGAAAGTTGCAGATAACAGTTCACTCAAGTACTGCAGCATACAGCTCTCTGACTAGAGATCAGTACAGTTTTTAAGTTAAAATTTACATGCAATGAAAGGTCTAAGTCTTAAGCGTACCATTTAGACCACAAGTCTTAAGCATATCCAAATTCCTCATCAAAATATCATCAATACTGAAAGTTCTCCCTTCCCAGCTAGTCCTTGTCCACATCCTCAGAGACATTATTATTCTGAAATTTTTTCTACCATAAGTTACTTTTGCCTGTTCTAGAACTTCATGTTGAAACACAAAGTAGGTGTTCTTTAATATACAGCTTTCTTCATTCAACACAGTACTTTCGAGGTCATCCATGTTGTATGTTTATCAATAGTTTGTTTCTTTTTATTGCTGGATAATGAATAATGTTCTATTGTATATAGTATTCTATTGTATAATAATATTCTTCCATTAAAAAATGTATTTTCCTGCATAAAGGACATATGGGCTACTTCCAGTTTTGGGGTATTATAAATAAAACCTCTATGAATATTATTGTACACTTTTTTTGTGGACATAGGTTTTCTTGAGGGAAATTTCTAGAAGTGGAATTGGTAGATTATAGGGTAGGTAGATGTATGTCTTAAATTTTTGATTATAGAGAAAGGAATTTTACTTTTCTAAATGTTATTTTCTGTTTTTCCTGTCAGACCTTACTTATTGTATGAGTAAACTATGTCTCAATGGTTCTTTTGTGAGCAAATGTGCGAGTAAATTATTCATATTTATCTTCCCTCCCAAAAATAGGTTGCTTAGAGGATAGAGGTTTTCTTAAACAATGTGTTTGTAAATTTCTCCCTAGAGTAGGTATATAGATTGTATTTTTTTTTTAAGGTACCAGCAGCACACACATACACACACCCACCCACACATGCACACACACAAAGGTCATATCTACACCCCTTAAGTCAATAATCTTCATCTGATATAAGCTGCCATGATTTAAGCACACTGTTTTGGATTGGGGGCTCAGGTGGCTGTTGCTTCTATTTTTTAGTATATAGTTAACATTGGCAGTCACCCTTATAATGATGTGACACCAGCTACCCCCAAGTACATTGAATAAGCCATGCCTAGCACAAGAGAACTTGATTTAATTGGCAACAGTGTTTGCCCTCACATGATAGGCACTGAAGTAAAACGAAACCTATTTTGCTTTGTGTTATTTCCTTTTGAAATGAGAACAACAAAAATGCATTTTAAAGTATTGGAATTACATAATTTTTACTTTTGTATGCATCTGTTGGGATCAAGTACCTAAGTAACTTTGTTTAGAAACTGAATACTTTAAAGCTATTCAGGGAATACTTGCAGCTTGCACTTAAAGCATTGTCAACGAAAGATGTGATTAAATTGAATGTTGAAGACTTTAGGCTTATGGTTAACACTAAGTAATTAAAAGTAAGCACTGCTGTGGGAGTGCATTATATATCAGCTGTCCTTTTTACCTCATTAACTAGGTTTTTGCATGTTTATGGAGCTAACTTCAATTAAAAATGCCTTTTGCATTATCCCTAACAAGATCTTTTAGTTATTGCTTTGGTATAAAGTATTACACTTTAATTGAAATTGGTATATCATAAATACCTGGGTTTAATGTGCAAGAGGAACAACTTTGATATTTTTGTATCTAGTTTTTATTTCTATGCATTGTTTTTCTATATGGTATTATTGAAAGACAGTATTTGGGGTTTAAAAAGAAAAACTTGGGTTGTTTACATGTTAGTAAATTGTTTATAACTGCATTTTTTGGTTGCCTTATGAGATTTCTATGGTTTTATGATTTCAAAACAGCAATGCTTTGAAATTCTTGTAGAAAAATGTTGAGTTTTCTGCTTCAATTATGAGGTTAAGAAAAAGTTACTTGGGTGCCTAAATTTCTTTTAAAATATATATTTGGTTATATTTTATTTGTTAGATAGCTAAAGATAATCCTACTTGGGTGCCAAAATTTCTTTCTTAATTTTTTTTTTTGAGTCAGAGTCTTACTTTGTCTCCCAGGCTGGAGTGCAGTGGCACGCTCAAAGCTACCATAGCGTCAACCTGCTGGGGTCCAGCGATCCTTCCCGCCTCAGTCTTCCAAGTAGCTGGAACTACAGGCGTGTACTACCATGCCCAGCCAATTTTTTGATTTATTGTAGAGACAAAGTTTCACCAAGTTTCCCAGGCTGGTCTTGAACCCCTGGTCTCAAGCAGTCCTCTCGCCTTGGCCTTTCAATGTGCTGGGATTATAGGCTTGAGCTATCACTCCTGGCCCAAATTTCTTTTTAAATATATATTTGGTTATGTTTTACTTGTTAGATAACTAAAAATAATCCTAAATTTAAAAAAATTCTGTGGTAGATCTATGTATAGTTGTTAAAATGGATTGCTGTATTTCCATAGGGCATTGTCTTGGTTCTAAATAAATTAAAATGCAGATAAATAAGAACAGCAAGTCTTTGAAGAAAAAAAAAACAACATTGAAAAAAAATTATGTTGGGAAAAAATTCTAAATTGTACATCAAAATGTGGATTAGAAAATTAGAAGAATAAGTTAGCTACCTCATTTATGTTTTGAAATTAATGTAATTAACTCAAGCGATCATTTGCATTTTTGTATTATAGAAGTGTCATCATTGCAACAAAAAAGTCTGCAGTCTTACCTTCCACACTTACTACAAGTATGCCTACCAGTGCTGTCAGTGTGGTTTCTTCAGTAGATTCAGCCCAAGCTTCAGATGTGGGAGTAGACTCACCAGGTGAGTTAGTTATCAGTAATTTCAACAAAAAGTTTTAGATCTCATTTTAGCAAAGCTTAGAATTTTTTATAAAGTTAAGTTTTGTGGGGCCCATTAGAAACCGTTGTGTTTTTATATTGTGTTGTTGATATACTATCTTTTGATCTGGCTATTGATTGGCATATGTTAATATATCATCCACTACTTTGTTTTCTTTTGCATGTTTTTCTAAATTAGAGGCTTGGAAAGAGAATGTTGTTCTGAGATCATCATCCTAACACTGATCATTCTGGTTCAGTAACTCCTATACCAATCTTATTTTGCCCATCTTTCCTTTTACATACCTTTCAAGTATAAAAACCCACATAGGAATGCAAGATCCTAGATCTCTGTATATTGACCAGATGCTTAGTGGTTATACCATTGAAACTTGAAGAATGTGCAGTATTAAATGACCAAGTATAGGAAAAATGGATGTTATTTTATATCAGTAGTATTTTTTTCTGGATGTTGTGCTGTTTCATAAAAAAATAAATAACAAGATATTGTACTCCCAAAAGGATTCGTCTTGTGACTCTAGAATGAGATTAATGAAAAATAAGGGGATTTTGAATGAATGACATGGCAGATTATATTAAGATTAGAAATAATGTTGTTACTTCTTCTCTTGGGACATCTCAGGCAAGATTTTGCCTTCTATTCTGCTGTCCTGCCTTTATTTGGCTGACTAATATATCTTGGAGAGTTTTGCTTCAAACTTTATGCTACTGCTAGTCTGTAGTTGGGGACTTTTTTCCCCTTGCTGTGTACTATATAATTATGTGTTTCAGGAACAAATACCACGATCCTTTGTTTCTTTGGTCTTCCCTGTTTTTTTCTTTTTTTTGTTTTTTTGCTTATGTTATTGTACTTATGTTAACAAAAATAATTTTAAGTTTTGAGTGATTCATTTCTTATACATTATATAGTGTTTAGTGATAAGAGACATTTGTTCATAGTAGGTTAAGTAAAAAATGTTATGTGCAATTCTTTATTTAAAAAAATTTTTTTTATGATCAATATTTTTTATTATGATATTGTGGGGTACAGTTAAGGGTTAGGTATACAAATATGCTTCATTCAGGCACCCTTGTTGATAAGAGGTGTCTCCCCATCCCCAGGCAGATATTTACTACTGTTAATCCCATCTCCCTTCCCCCTTTAAAATTTTTTTAATAGTTCTTTACATATACCATATGACTATGTAAAGTATATGCCTTTTATACATGGTACAAGCAAGAAAGTATACTGTGAAGTTACTTGGCTCTCCATGCAGTTGGACTACTGGCATTTTTGATTTTCAAAAATTAAAATTTCATGAAATTTTACTTGTAGTATCTCTTTCAAAATTTTATCAGTAGTCTTTTATTGTTTTCATTTTTAGAAAAAAGTAAAATTATTTTTCACTTTGAAACAAAAAACTGCAGAGATAGTAGACAGAATTTTGTACTACTTTGCTTTTTATTTTATAAAATAAAAAAATACTTTATTTTTTAGTTGAGTTTCGGTTTACAGAAAATTGAAAATTATAGAGAATTCTCAAATACCCCCTACTTTCCCCCCTCCCCAGCTTCCTCTGTTATTAATGTCTTGCAATAATGTAGTGTATGTCAGTTGTTGTTTTTTTTTTCACCTCTGGGTTAGTGAGAAATACAAAGGAAACTAAGTATAAAACTCTAGCAGATCTTTTTCATCTTTACTGTTCTGTGAAAGTTGGATGCCTGTTTTTTTTCCTGAAGAGGAAATAATTTGATAATCCATTCAGGGCTAATCAAATTCCTACTTGCCCCCATCCAATGTCCTTTAAACAAAATCGAAATCAACTGTGATTTTCTAGACTAGACCCTTTTGAGAAAAATGCAATAGTTATTAATGTCTTTGAAACTGTTTACATGCCATCTTTTAAAATTCAGCTACAGTGACTTCCTAACAACTTTCCAGAGCAAATGTAGTAATTTCAGAAGTTCAAAGTGCACTGAGTAAAATATTTTTCTCTTATTTTGAATATGCTGCCTGTTAGTTTCAGTTTCTAGGACAGAGTAAATTAGGACCCTTTGATTGCTTTTAAATATATTCTTTAAAATATAAATCATGGCATTTTCAGAAGAGTTAAGAAACAGAAAACTGAGACATACAGGTGATATTGAACATAAAAGAGTATTAATACTTTTCTTTCTGAAGCCATTATTTTTTTAATAAATGCATTGTAATGTAAAATACTCACTTTGAAAAACTGTATGCAGAATTACAAAATCATTTACTATCTCGAAGACTATTGTATTTCTTGGCAAAAGTTATTTATTTATTTATTTTTTTGAGTTGGAGTCTCATTCTGTCACCCAGGCTGCAGAGGCATGCTCATGGCCACCCCAGCGTTGACCTGCTGGGCTCCCACCGGAGCCTCCCAAGTAGCTGGAACTACTACCATACCTGGCTAATTTTAAAAATTTATTTATTGTAGAGACGAGGTCTCACCATGTTGCCCAGGCTGGTCTCGAACCTGCGGGCTCAGGCAGTCCTCTTGCCTCGGCCTTCCAAAGTGCTGGGATTACAGGCTTGAGCCACCTCTCCTGGCAGCAAAATTTATAAAACTCTGTATTACTGATCTAGCTCATAATGCACCTTGTTTCCCTACTATTTAAATTTTATATACTCTGTGATGATGGTGTTTCTCAAATGGTTTTTTTCTATTTTGAGCTAGAGTTTTTAGCTACTTTCTATTCCTTCCTAACCCCTCTATTTAAAAAATACCTCATTCTCTTTTTAGTTTTTTCAGGTCTTTTTTGTGATGATGGTATTTCTTTTTATCTTTTACTTTCACTTCCACATCTGACTCTTTTCTCCCTTTTCCTCTTTTACTGTGCTTTTGTCACAGTCATACGGTTACTCAATTTCAGTTTATTACTTTTATTCCATTCTGTTAATTGACTCTGTAACCACTACTGCCTTGAAAAGAAAAGCTAACTAATCTAGTATTTTCTGTTCTACTTCTTACCCTCCTGTGGCCCTACTTTACATGCTTTTGCCTATGTACCTTTTGCCTTTTATACCATGGTAGGTACTCCTTTTCACTTGGAATCCAAACCTCCAACAACTTCCTCGATCAGTATATATGTACTGAGAGGGAAAGAGAGAGAGAGACAGAGACATGAAGTCTTGATGTGTTGTCCAGCTGGTCTCGAACTCCTGGACTCAAGCAATCCTCCTGCCTCACCCTTGCAAAGTGCTGGGGTTATGGGTGTGAGCCACCATGCCCAGCTAGTATTTTTAACAGATAGATTTTTATTTTCTGTTTGATTGGTAGTTTGATTTAAGGTATTTTCCATTTTAAAAAATAGTTAAATACATAGATGGTTCCCAACTTAGTGATTTTTCAACTTTTTTTTTTTACGTTGGATTCTCACTCCATCACCCAGGCTGGAGTGCAGTGGCATGCTCATGGTCACCGCAGCGTTGACCGGCTGGGCTCAGGTGATCCTTCTACCTCAGCCTTGCAAGTAGCCGGAACTGCAGGTGTGCACTACCACACTCGGCTAATTTTTTTGATTTATTGTAGAGACGAGGTTTCATCATGTTACCCAGACTGGTCTTGAACCCCTGGGCTCAGGCAATCCTCTTGCCTCGGCCTCCCTTAAAGTGCTGGGATTATAGGCTTGAGCCACCTCACTCAGCTGATTTTTTGACTTTGATGGTACAAAAATTGTACCCATTCAGTAGAAACTGTACTTCAAGTACCCACTTTCTTCTGGTTTTTCACTTTCTTTTTTTTTGAGTTGGAGTCTCACTCTGTCATCCAGATTGGAGTGCAGTGGCCGCTCCCGGCCACCGCAGCCTCGACCTGCTGGGCTCTGGCGATCCTTCCGCCTCAGCCTTCCAAGTAGCTGGAATTACAGGCATGCGCTACCACGCCTGGCTGATTTTTTGATTTATTGTAGAGATGAGGTCTTGCTGCCCAGGCGGGTCTCGAACCCGCGGGCTCAGGCAATCCACTCACCTCAGCCTCCCAAAGGCGCGAGATTACAGGCTGAGCCACCGAGCCCGGCGTGGTTTTTCACTTTCAATGCACTAGTCAATAAGTTATGAGATAGCCAACACTTTGTTATAGAATAGACTTTGTGTTAAATAATTTTGTCCAGCTGAAGACTGACATAGTGTTCTGAGCATGTTTAAGGTAGGCTAGGCTATGTTGTTTGGTAGCACTGGTGTATTAAATACATTTTCAATGTCTGATATTTCCAGCTTATGATATGTTTATCATGGCATAACTCTATTATAAGTGCAAAGGCAACTGTATCATAAGTTGAAATTGCATTTAATGCACCTAACCTACCAAGTGTAGTGTAGTCTAGCCTACCTTAAACATGCTCAGAATAATTACATTAGCTTATAGTTGGACAAAGTCATCTGGCAACACAGTTCTCTGTAGAGTATTGGTTGTTTACCTTTGTGATCATGTGACTAATTGGGAACTACACCTCATTATTATTGCCAAGCATGATGAGAAAGTATACTACATATTTCTAGTCTGGGAAAAGCCCAAATTTCCAAATTCACAGTACAGTTTTTGCTGAAGGCTTATCACTTTTGCATCATTGTAAAGTCAAAAAATTTTAAGTTGAACAATTGTAAGATGAGACCGTTTGAAACTCTCAACTTTAACTGAGTTCAACACCGTTATAAGTCAAGGAGCATCAATATGCTCAGTATGACTATATAAATAAATATATATTAAAAAATAAATATTGAAGTTTATTTTCCATCTGCTTCAAGCAGGAATAAGAAAAAAAGTTTGTGGATAAATTGATTGTTGTTGTAATTGAATGCTGAGTAGGACAGTTTAGTCTGCAGATCTGGGTAAATTAGATATTAATCTTGGTTTATTCTTTGATTATTTTCTTTATATGAAAGTACACTTAATACCGGTCCCTGTGGACCCAAATCTTTATGCCTTGGGATGACTATAGTTCTGAATTTTATAGTCA